AAAGCCGGTATCGATGATATCACTATTCTTGAATATCAAGATCGTGTTGGTGGACGTATCCATACTCATTACTTTACTGATAATGATGAAAGACGTTTATATGCAGAACTTGGTGCAATGAGATTACCTTTTGTTCAAGATCGGCCGGATCTTAGTCCACATCAACTTGTCTTTGATACAATTGATTATATTAATGAATACAATAAGAAGGATGATCCAGATAGAGAAATCAAACTCATTCCTTTTATTATTAATTATCCAAAGTTAGTATATTTTAAACATATAATCAATTATCACTAATGAAATACATTAATAATTTCTATCTAAACGTTCATATAAAGTTCTTTATATTACTTCAACAATAAAAAAACTCCATCTGGTGAAATTATGACCAGCAATTACTCAGAAAGCGCTGATGCAAAACAACTAGGATTACCTGATGAAATTCCATATAATTATCTTAAACTTTGGAATGATGCATTACAACCTTTCTATGACGAATTGGATTCGAATTTTACAAATGGTCTTATAAATTTAAAACGTTACGATAACTATACTGTCTATTCTTATTTAAAAGAAATTTATCTTCCCAAAGTGTTACCAGACAAATCTGCTGATTATGATGAAATTATTAGTGCTATTGAATTGCAAGAATCAGGAACGGGTATGTAATTGTTTTATTCTGGCTATTTTAATCAACTATTAATTGATTATAATAAAAATAAATATACCTTTAGGTGAATTTCGTTTATATAGTTTTCCTACTGAAGTTATTGACGCTCATACCTTTGGTAACCCTAATTATGAGATAAGCTGGAGGACCATTGATAAAGGAATGCAACGGTTTCCTAATGCTTTCTTGCCAATGATAAAAAAAGAAAATATTAATCTGACATATAATAGCGAAGTTTATAAGCTGGAAAAAACACATGCTAATGGATATTATGTAACTCAGTATATTAATAGACTTCAGGAAAAGGCTCAAGAGCTTCTTCTTTATAAAAATTAATATGATTAGATTAGTTGACGATGCGATCAATTTTTTATCATCACTCTAATATATATGAATGACGATGTAATCAAATTTTTATCATCTTCTAGCTATATAAAAATATACACCAAGCTAAAGTATATAAAAGTGCTATAAAATATAGCAGGATGACGATTAAATGATTTTTAAATATAATTTCATATAGAGGTGTGAAAAAGTGTGCCAGAACTCCCCTTTTCGACCTACTTACTAGAGTCTAAAGAGGTACATAGTAAAATTGCTCAAGGAAATTTTTTTATTAGTATACGAAGAGTAGTTATATATGCAATTCTTTGAGACAAAAGTAATTTTTGACGATATGCGCCGTTCATTTTGAATTTTTCTATTATACCTGATTTTGCACTCCTTAAATATGTATGCAGATTGCCTGAGCTACTAATTAGATTTCAAGATCAGTTGCAACGTAACACTATTAAGAAAATTTAAAACAAATATTCGTTTTACTTACTTCTTGTAATTATATATAAGAAATCACTTGGTGCTCTAACAAAAAGGTTTTCGTTAGGCAATTTTACTATTCAAACTACTCTTCTCTAGCCCATAAAACTAACCTTAACACTAAAATGAATGAACTTTAAAGAATTTATACTGTGTTATTACCTAAAAAATAATATTCTGGCATATAAAATTTACCATAATTATGTTATATTTCTAAGTTTTGTATGTTTAATGAGTATCAAAATCCTTTATCAATAACTTTTGAATAGTCCAAATTTACATGTTATATGTAATTGTACTGGTTCTGCGTAGCATCACATGTTATGCAGCTACCCTAATTGGTATACTTTAGAATTTACCAAATATTTAGCTTGTTCTTCCTGAAGTAATATTATTGATAGTAAATAAGTTAGAGCTAATAATTAGAATGTGTAATATAGTAGATTTTAATACTATTCTGTAAAACTTCATGAATTATTTTGGTAACTATTCTAATATAGTTTTTTAAGTTTTATAGATAATTTATTCTAAGTAAGGGATTGTATATTTGTATGGTTAGTGAGTTGCTTAATTGTATATATATTTGTATGGTTGATGAAGGTTTAATTTAATTAGGTTTAAAAATATTTGATTAGTTGATTAATTGTTGTATTAAGTTTTAGTTGGTATAGACTAGTGTTGGTCACCAAAACTTTTTTGGCCAAATCTGAAGTTTGGGTTTCAGATTATAGTTTCTAAAACCTTACCCGAAACTTGAAATCTTACTTGAAACCCAAAACCTCACTGAAACCCGAAACCTCATCTGAAACCTGAAACCTTATCCGAAACCCAAAATCTTGCCTAAAATATGAAACTCTACTAAAACCTAAAATATTTCCAAAATCTGAAACTTTATCTGAAACTTGAAATTTTATTTATAGTTATTTTTATAAATTCTAGAATATTTAACAAAAAATTTGC